TGAAATTTGAAAACTTGTGTAATCTCAAGAAATGTTTTTATTGAAAAATGATTTGATGTCCTTAATTTCATTAGTCGGACTAGCCGAAGGCTAGGTCGACTTGAGTTTTACCTTTTATTCAATCTATGTGTCAAGTCGCGTTTGGACCACCGGAAGTTAAGAATTTAATAATTAAGTATTGGTTTGGCTGTGTTATTACATGACCGAAAGCTCAATATATATATATATAGTTTGCTGAAGAAGGCCGAAGTGCCGAAACGTTCATTAAAAAGTAGAAAACCTAGTTACAAGTTGCGTGGCTTTTTCTTCATTTATTCTATTTACAGCTGTTTGCAATAATTCTGACCCCCTCTGCCATATTTCATATATATCAAACTGACCTTAAATATTATGGGATATCATGACTGATATATTTTTTGAGTTGTCCAGAATGAGTACTTTCTAAAAAAAATATCAGCAATGGTATCCCATAATTTCTAAGGCTATTTTGATATATATGAATATTAGTGTAGGGGGGTCAGAATTATTGCAAACAGCTGTATATATATAATTATATATATATAGATAAATTCATAAAATACTGAGCTAAACGCTTTGAATATGATCCATTGATTTATTGCTACAGACCTGTTTCGTATGGTATGACCGTTAGATATCCTATGCTGGTAATTTGAAAGAAAATGGTTGCTAGGTTACATATATCAGCTTACATAGAAGTTTTTGAGCGTGTATTTATTTCTGTGGCGGCATGGGCTTGCGAGTTCATTGCGGTTGTTTAGCGAAGATAGGTGTTTGTTACAGATTATTATAAACTTTTCGTTCAAGCATAAATTACATTTTTTGTTATTATTATATGGTTGGCTTTTTTGATTATTTTCCACGTCAGGTTGAATTTTCTGTTTTTGTCTTTCAGTTCCCAAATATGCGTAGATAGTTCTGTTACGTTTCTTTTTTTGCAATGTTTACAAGAAGTCAGGTGGTTTCTATATCTTTCTTTGAAGTTAGTTGCTAATCCTACGTATGTTTCAGTTGATGTTTCAGTAGTTTCGGTCGCTTAGTATATTACGTTTGTCTGTTGGCAGTTTCCATTAAGAGGGCAGTCAGGTATTTTTCTGCAGTTGCACTTTGGTTGTTGTTGCTCGGTTGTAGTTCCAGTTTTGATTTTGCTTTTGTTATGGGAGTCGATTATATTCTTCACATTGGGCATGCATGAGTAGCTTAGCTTTAAAGTATTCTTGTTGAAGATCTTGTGTAGTGGATGGTCTTTTGGGAAGCATTTGTTGACTGTATTTAGAAATTTTCTACCAAGGTTTGTCTTTACATTAGAGTTCCATGGTGGGTTGTACCAAGTTATATTACGTTTGCGGTTTTTTCTAGTTTGTATTCTATTACTTTGTGGGTTAAAGATTAATTTATGGTTGTAGCCACTTTCGTCCAGTGCTTTTTGGTAGGGT